ACCGCTGAGTCGTTTTGCTAATTCTCTGATATTTTTCCTCTTATTCTATTTATACTTTGATAGCCATTGTTATTGAAACTGGTGTTTGCAAAAGCAAGTTAGTTGATTAATAGGTATTTTATACATCTGGTATTTCCTCATAAAAGATTGGGAAACTTATTTCAATTATCATACCACCAACAAGGATGCAATCTGTTCACAATGGCTGTTTACGAATGGCTGCTTTGGGTAATGGTTGTTTTCTTAGCATGGGAAATGAAATATAATATTATTAAACAGAGATATGCAGAATGGTGTGTCAACTTATCCATCTTCCTGATGTTTATAGGCTTAATTTTTTATAATGTTTATTTTATTTTATGGCACCAAACATTAAAGTATCACTTATTTGAAAGGATCTAATTTCATTTATTTTTGTTTTAATGTTCTTGGATATTAACATCCACAATTTCATGTGCAATCAGTGCAGAAAACCTGTGGTAGGTACTCTATTAATTCTATTTAGACAAACATGCTATGATGAGAGAGATAATGAACCAAGGAGTTTATTTTTTTTTTAGGTGAGGTATGAAAGTTTTTGCCCACAAGGCTAAGGTGGTTTTGTTTAGTGTTTTTTTTTTGTTGTTGTTGTTTTTGTTTTTTGTTTTTTGTTTTTTTTTTTTTTTTTTTTGACAAATCACCTTTAAAATGTCTTAAAATAATGCTTGATAATCTTAAAATTGTCATGAAAATTCAGTGTAGGTCGGAAAGTGGTAAGTGCATGTGTAAGTGTTTGTATCTTTTTAGATTTCACTAGTGATATTTTATATATTAAATGTATTAGAATGGTTTTATAAACTGCTTATGTTTTTCTGTTTCATATACTCAGATATTTAAGTCTTATTATATACAGACTTGAATTTCTATTCAAGCTTAATTTGTGGGAAAATGAGAGAGAAACATACTTCTTCAACTCACAAATGGATACTGAAACTATAAAGTCTTATAAAATTTTTAAGAGTTTAAAAATTAAACTTTTAACAGATGATATCTCAGAAGGAAGACAGGCAGAATTTCCAACATATACAATATATATGTTCCTACTAAGTGAAAACTTCTTGCTGCCTGCCAATACAGATGCCAATACTGTTAAGCAAACTCTTTAAGAATGAATGGTTCCTTTATCTCCTTCTCTCATATAGAGAAGACACAGTTTGAGTTGTTCAGTGTATACCATCATGTTTCCACCAGTTTAGTATGTAAACATTGCCACTACTACTGATACCTCCTTAGATCCATTGGCAGCTTTGACCTGCACAGTGAAGCAGCTGTAGTTCTTTATGGTAAATGTGGATGTGGTTCTGCACCTATATTTAGATACTAACCCCTTCCCATTCACATAATTGTTCTTGCATTACTTGGTTCTTGTTATGTTTCAGCTTCTCAGCAGCAGCTTAACACAGAGTAATAGCTGAGGATTCTTCATAAGGGACTATAATTCTGGTTACCTAAGATTAAATAGTGTGAGGCAAACATTTTCTCAAAAACACTGAAATCACTACCTCAAAAATTAGGCTACTCTAAACATCCGACATCATTGAATTTTGGCTCTGAAAACCTTACTTTTAGTTCCAGTCGTGCAAATGAGTCCTTGTGGTTGTAATGTGGCAGTTTTATGAAGCTCCACTGACTTCACTAATGCTTACCTGAACTCCAATGACTTCAGCTACAAAGGCTACCTAAAGTGTGTATCTTTGCTTACTGGATAAAGCTGAGTCCTTTTGACTGTGTTTTTTTATATGAAATTAATGAGATTTTTAGTCTCTATTGCATAGCTAAAGATGCTGGAAAAGCAAAGAAGGGAGGTAAATAGGTCCATTTAACAGCAAGCAATGAACTGAATTCATTACATTTATTGGGTGAAACAACCTAATGAAGTAAAATACTAATTAAATTATTAAATTCTGGATTGCAAATAGTAATTAAAAAGACAGTTGCTGTGCAACCAAAAGGATTTTATGACAGAATGTAAAAATATATTTGTTAAGTATGCTGGTATTTTGCTTTGACCTTTTTCAGTCACAAACCTGCCCATGCTGTCTGTATTTTTGAGAATGATCACATTAAAGATACCTGCAGTATTAAGGAAAAAAAAAATAGCAATTTGAATCCATTAATGACTTTTATTGTTTTTGAAAGGGTAAGAGTAAGGAATTCATGAGATAAAAATAAATACATAAATATAATTATGTTTGTAATTTCTGTGCTGATGTTTCATCATCTCTAATGGATTAATTTCTACACCAAACAGAGGTCCTGATCCTATAAGACATGGGAACATTAATTTTCATAATGTAGTATATGACCTAACCCTGCCCTGTCCTGAAGGTCTTAAATAACAATTAAATCCCTTACTTGTATCAGAAACCTAAGCATCTGTTGTTAATAACTAGGGGCAATTTTCCTTATCCTGGAATACCTTGAGAGAACTTTTACTTATCCTAAAACACTTAGACTAAGATGTAGATTGATTTCTGCTGGAATTTCCATTGTTACATATGAAGATCTCTGATGTGATCATTTGATACTAATATATGGGAGAGAGGACACCAATATGCAGATAAACAGTGGCACACAAAGAATTTTGTTAGGGCACAAATATATTTCTATGAAGAGGCATAAATTGTGCCCGAGATATTTGTACAGTGACCTTACATATTCCCCACAGTCAGAATAATATCAAAATTGCTTGGTCTGCTTTGGACTGTGCTGTGCAAATGAGAGGGAGATCTGGTCTGCTGGATGTGAAAGTTTCTGCCCTTGAGGTTGTTTACTGGCTGTATGACCAACCTGAAGTCCATTTTCTTTAATTTCCATTAGTCCTGCATTTAAATCACAAAACATTAAACACTTTCTTTAGTCAATAGAGCTTCCTTTCTACTGGTATCATGACAGGAAAATTAAAGGAAACCCAAACTGGGTCTAAGCAATTGGCCTCTGACCAATGCTGGGTCACCACTACCACCCTGCATCCAGAAACAAAGGGCTTGCTCTCTGGTAAATCCTGCTCTCTACACTTCTTCTTGTTTTCTATTCTTATTTCAAACTTCCTATAAGAGAGGGAACAACAGTGATTCTTAACCAGAATGGAGGTTTTTCAGATATAAGGTCCTACAGAAATTTAATTTGCCCTTTTATTTCTATTTCTTACATCACCGTTCATTCCCAGACATTAATTTATTTAGTGTATGTTTTCAAGATAGTTGCTCTTCATACAACCACTCAGGATAGGTTTAAAGCCTCTTTTCAGCTGCTGAATCAGAGGAACTATGAGATCTAACATCAAAGTCTATCAGTAAGTTGCAAAGCTTCCTAAAATGACCTCTGGGAGGCTCACTTGTCATTGGACACACCACTCTGTAATGAACTTCCTGTGAGCAGAAAGATATGCAAGAATCTATACATGGTTACCCTTGTATGGAAGGAATCTAGGTAGAAGTGCTATTAAAAGTAAGTTTCTTTTTGTTTTTTTCCTTTCCAGAGATAAACACTGTTACAAGAATTTCATTGTTTAGTAGTACCTTGTAAAAATATCACCTTTGATTTAAAATTAGTCTTATTTGGGACTTTTTGAATGAAATTAAGAATTTGTGTTTATGAGATAATATGGAATTATTTTTCCAGATAACAGACCATGTTCTAAAAAAAATACTGTAGGTTCCCTATATATATGTTAAATACTGTGAAACATGCAGCTCTATTAAAATAGATATAGAAGGGGTTTCAAGAGATCACTCATACCAAAGGAAATTGTATCTGTTGATATCAAGAAAAACAACAGTATATATTGTGTTTTTCAATAAAGAAATTATGGTAATGCCCAAAGAATCCCTGGTCTATGAAATAGTAAAATTGAAGAATATGTGTGTCTCATATTCCAACAAGAAAAAAGTAAGAACAGGGGGTTGAGGGTACAAAGAAGGCCAAAATTACATTGAATACAAAAATTTTACAGAATAATGAAAAAATAATCTTTAGTTCACAGGGATGTGAAATTATAGTTTAAGTGTCCCTGACTATCTTCTGTATAGTGTTTACACCTATTAAACAGTTTTTTCAGTATACAGTCTGTCATAAACATTTGTCATATTACAGAAGGTAATATAGATTGTATTTTTTCTACAAAAACTTACACACATCCTAAAGACTTCAAGCTCCACAAGTAAAGTTAAATATTATGAATATTCTTTACTTTTGAGTTACTGATAAAGTAGGATTTACTGGGTTCAAATACAGAACTGCGAACTATTGCCAAAATACTGAAGTTACAAATATACTTTTGAAAACAACTATTAATAAAACTTTTTTTTTTCCCCCAGATAATTACACTGCAACAACTGAGCTTCTTGACACCAAAATATGGAAGTTAATGAGTGTTTCCAATTCTGAAAATGAGATATAAATACAACACAACATGTTGATATTCATTTTTGTGCCCTTACAAACTCTGTTTTATCACAAATGTGTGTAGATAAAGCAGGTTCAGAACTATCATTAATCAGAAGTACCTTCTTCCCTCAATTTTGGCTTAAAGAAAATTCTAGAATTCTGGAAAGACAAAAGACTGTGTTCCACTGCCCAGTGAGATTACAACTCCCTAAAAATTTTCTGTTTTCAGAGGCCCCAGATTAGACTCAAATGTAAATTACTGGAAAACTTCACTATTAATGGAAAGATAAGCCTTGGAATATGGTATTATGCTTCAGAATTACTTACAAGTTTAGAAACATTGTTTATTATTTTACATGAACATTTTACCCAACACACCATTAACAAGAATCCACAATACTTCTCAATATTGTGGAGAAGAGATTTTGTTCTGACTGTAAATCTTCACTGTAAACTACCATAGTGAATAACTGTTAAATACAAATCATAAGAAAAATCACATCATCAAGCTTTAATACTCTTGGCTTTGAGTTAACTAGTTGAATTATCCAGTAATAAAATTAGTTTCCTACCTCAACTTTGTGAATTCCAACTCCTGTTAGAAAAGAGAGAAAGAAAAAGATTTTCAGAGAAGTATGTAGAAAGGAAGACATTCAACTTTGCTCAGCAAATTTTTCACAGAAAACAAGTCAACAACTTTGATAAGAAAACAAATTATATCAGCTAAAAATTTCCCCTTTAATAAGCAGAAAGTAAATAAATATTTTTTTGTTTGTTTGTTTGTTTTTCTGCATGTAGTCTCCAGATGTAAGAAGTCTTTTTGATTTATTAAAACATTTATGATGACACTTTACTATATAAAGTGAAGTATTCCCATAAATGGGAATGAGAGCTAGGAGAATCTGTGATCCAATTTACAGATGAACAAAGAAATATTAAAAATATATTAAAATTGCAGTACAAACATATTTCTAAAAGGTCAGTTGTCTGAAGTTTTATGACTGTCTTTGAAACAACTAAATTAATCAACTTTTTTCAGTCAATATGTAGTTCTCTAGGTTTCCTTCACAGTCTTTTTGTCAGTCATCCTGATCTCCAGTTCTGAGTTTCTATGAATTCTGGTATTATTTTGTACCCTACTGTTGCTGTTGAAGTCACTGTCCATTAGACACTTGGCAAGCACTGTCAGAAGTATGGAAAAGTAGGGAGCAAAGGCCCGGAAAGAGAAATTATAGGAGATAATTTTTAGTAAAATATGCATAGAGGTGAAATTTATTTACTACAAACCACAATTTCAGAAGATTTCCAAAAGAATTTAGATTTGTTTAGCCCTTGTAAATTTCCTGAGCTATGTATCATACAAACCACAATCCTGACTTTTTCTGTAAGAAACTTATTCTCTCACCTTTAGCTACTTCCTTGATAGAAGACTGAGAAAAACTTGTAGGTCAAGGGCAGGTTCTGGACAGAACAAGAGAAGTACAAGGAAAGTAAGATTTAAAATCTTCTCCCCTTTTTGATGGTCTCAGACAGTACCAATACTAGAATATCAACATGCAATTGCATCTTTAAAACATTTTAAATTAGTTCATTCACTGAACTACATTCTTCTGGGATGTTACAGTTTTCTAAAGATTAAGATTAATTTAACCCTTTTTCTAATATTTATTTTCACATGATAAAACTTCAGCAAATAGAACATGTGGTTTGACTTATTTTAGGACAGATTTAGAATATATAAAAAATAGAATTGCCTAATAGATGGATGCAGCTGTTAATAAATGACCATATTAAATATCTACACAGGAATAAAATCCCATATAATCTGGATTATGGTTTGTTTTGTGTGTTTTTTGGGCTGGAACAGATCTTAAAGATCATCTAGTTCCAACCCTTCTGCCATGGTCAGGAACACCTTCCACAAGATCGGGTTACTCAAAGCCACATTCAGACTGGCCTTGAACACTTCCAGGGATGGAGTATCCACAACTTCTCTGGGTAACTTGTTCCAGGGTCTTACCACCCTCACTGTAAAGAATTTCTTCCTTATATTTAAATTAAATCTAACTTTTTTTCAGTTTAAAACTGTTAACCCTTGTCCTATCACTACACTCCTTGATAAAGAGTCCCTCTCCATCTTTCCTGTAGGCCCTCTTGAAGTACTGGAAGGCTGCTATAAAGTCTTCCTAAAGACTTCTCTTCTCTAGGCTGAACAACCACAACTCTCTCAACCTGTCCTCATAAGAGAGGTGCTCCAAGCCCCTGATCATATTCATGGTGCTCCTCTGGACCTGCTCCAATAGGTCTATGTCTTTCTTATATTAGTGGCCTCAGAGCTGGACACTGTTCCAGGTGGTGTCATGAAAGCACAGTAGAGGTGCAGAATGCAATAGAGGGGGAAAATTGCCTCCCTTGACCTCCTGGCCATACCTCTCAAGATGCAGCATAGGATACACTTGGCTTGCTGGGCTGCGAGCAGACATTGCTGACTCATACTTTTTTTCATCCACTAATACCTCCAAGTTCTTCTCCCCAGGGATGCTCTCAATTCAGCATGTCAACCACACCACACAGCTTGATGATGTTGTCAAACTTGCTGAGAGTGCACTCAGTCCCACTGTCCATGTCACCAACAAAGATGTTAAACAATGCTGGTCCCAGTATCAACCTCTGAGGAAGGCCACTCTTCATTGCTATCAACTTGGACATCAAGGTGGTGACCACAACTCTTTGAGTGTGATCATCCCACCAATTCCTTATCCATCGAGTGGCCCATCTGTCAAATCCATTTCTTTACAATTTAGAAACAAGAATGGCCTGCGGGACAGTGTCAAATGCTTTTCACAAGTCCAGGCAGATGACATTAGTTGCTCTTCCCTTATCCACCAACACTGTAACCCCATTGTAGAAGGACACCAAATTCATCAGGCATGATTTGCCCTTAATGAATCCATGTTTTTTGTCACCAATCACCTCCTTATTTTCCATGTGCCTTACCACAGTTTCCAGGAGGATCCACTCCATGACCTTGCCAGGAATAGAGGTGAGACTGACTGGTCTGTAGTTCCCTGGGTCTTTTTTTCCCCCCTTTTTAAAAATGGGGATTATGATTCTCCTTTTCCGGTCAGCAGGAATTTCACTGGACTGCCATGACTTCTCAAATATGATGGATAGTGGTTTAGCCACTTCATCCACCAGTTCACTCAGGACCCCTGTATACATCTCATCAGGTCCCATGGACTTGTTCACTTTTAGCTTTCTTAAATAGTCTTGAACTTGATCTTCTCCTGCAGCGGACAGTTATTTGTGCTCCCAGCCCTCACCTTTGCCTTCTGCATTTTGGTCAGCATGGCTGGAGCCCTTGATGGTGAAGACTGAAGCAAAAAATTCACTAAGTATCTCAGCCTTCTCCATATCCTGGTTAACCAATCAACAATTTATACTTGACAATTTATTCAAATCTATATTTTCAAGTGTAATCTGCAACAGATTATCATAATTTTATTTTCTGTAAGGCAGTGACCTGCAGAAATAATCTTCAGAAGTTTCAACTTCTGCAGAAAGCCACTTCATGTTTACATTTGAGTAAACCAAATTAAGATTGTCTGCTTTCCTATTAACACCTCTGCAGGAGACCAATAAAATAAAAAGACCTTCCTCTGGATCCTCTTGTTTACTCAATCTAATTGGAGGTGCACCAGTGACTGAAAAATTCTCACAGACTTAAGAAAAGGAGCAACTTTGTGGAATTAGAATTTCATATTTGTGATGAAACCTGAAATAACCATGTCATCTCTAAAAGTTAATCTTGCCACTTTTATTCAAATTTTTGTTTAGACTTGATATCTTGTTTTCTCTCTAATAATATATCTCCAGAGTATTTTACTGAGTCTTTAGGATTTTTATGTAGTTACTTAACTTTTCTAGAAATACAAATCATAATTTGGAAAGCATTCCTTCCTCATGAGCCTCAGAAGGTAGGCTTGATGTTTAAATAGCTGGTGAAACAAGTGATGTAATATTGTGAATTAGACTCTACTAATTTCAGAATAACTTCCTTTGCTGTTCTCCTCCAGTGCTGTTTCAAATTCTAATTACAGGCTCCCTAGTTTTTTCTTTTTGTGGATGGTAAGTTTTTTTGTTACTTTAGACTTTAAAATGTGTCAGTTTATGGGCTTCTTTTCATCTTTGTATCCACAGCCAGTGAGATTCAGTATTGCAAAATTAATTTAATTGAACATAAAATGCACATTGTGCAGATTATCATTCACTGAGGAGTCTGGATCATAATACAACAGTTAGAAACAATTTAGGAGAAATTACCACCACAGAAGGAAAGATCATCTTGTTTGATAGCCTCCTGTGTCCTGACCCCACTAATCCCTGTGTAACAGAAGAGTGACAAGGTTCCGAAAACATTGATGATAAGGGGAAAAAAACAAACAAACAAACAAACAAACAAAAAACAAAAACTCAAAAAAACCCCTCAAGCTAAAGTCAGTACTATGCCTCCTGGTAAGGTGACCTATAATGAAGAATTTATTGGTGGAGAGCTCTTGTCAGTAACACATAACAAGTGTAATATTAGATACTATTAGATACTATAGGAAGGTACAATTGTTATCTGTGTATCATTGCACAGAAAGAATTACAGTCGCTGAAATATCAAGAGTCAAGTACCACATTTAGAAGTTTCTCCTGCTATGTTAACATATCAAGCTACTGCGAGTAACAGAAACTTTTCAACAAGTCAGTATTCTTTACTCTTCCCTTCTTTCTCTAGTACATATTTTAGTCTTAACTTAGTGCAGACCAGGTCTTACTTTTTTTTTTTTTTTTTTTTTTTTTTTTTTTTTGTGTAGAACCCTACTTCATGCTTATTTGGATCAGCCAGAGAACCATAGACAAAAAAACACAGAAGTAAGCCTTAATTTCAAGTGAATGCCTGTTTCTTTGAATTACTCTTACACATAGTGGCTATTTCTTCTCCAGTGTTGTGCTGTTCTAGTTATTCATAGAACTTTTGTCTGGTTCATTAAGTTAGTGAAATAACTTCAGAAGAAAACTTGCCTTTCCAAACCTTTCCAGGAACAATTATATTACTATACTTGCTCTGTTATTTGAATATTGACTATCAGAGCTTCATTGTCTACAAGATTGGATTAAGATTCTGGAAATTATTTTTTTAAAAGGTTGAAATCATACAGGGCTTTAAGATTTCTAGATACTGAGGCCTTGGATGAGCTCATTTTGCATGTTTCATGCCTTCAGTTCAATACTTGGATGGCAAAACTAGCAATCTGCTATGGTTAACGGGGTTTGGAGTTATGAAGCAATATAAATCCTGTGATTAACTAAGGTGTTATAACAACCTTTGGGCTACTGGTTCTGCACCATCATCTTGTACTCATATTTGACTCCAGGTCTGTAATCTCAGTTTGTTTTCCTGACTATGCCTTCATAGTATATGTGTTCTTGTGACTCTTAATTATCACAAGTTCAGTGAAACTTAAGTAAGCATGTATCTTTATCGATATTCATTCTACACAAGAAATAAATGTATTGGGATAATTACCCCATCATTATTTATCTTCATGTAATGACAATTATGTTCTACAAGTAATTGCTGTTACCTTTTGTTCCAATTCCTTCTCAGCTGGTGCAACTCTTTCATTCTTATTTATCTGTTCCATTATTTTTCTGTCTTTTTCATATTTATTCAGAAATACATGTCAGTGAGTTGGGGATAGATTGAATTTCAGATTTAAGATTTTATTCTGATTTTTTTTTATGAGTTAAACAATCAAGACATTTTTGTATTACCCAACTCATCATCTCAATTCATGAAGACAAGTCAATATGATAATGTAGTGAGTTGAAATCAGGTTTTAAATTGTGTTTTTTTTAATACATATGGGAGTCATTAAAGAGGTAATACAACCCATGTAATACATTGGGAGATTTTAGAACATAGTGCTAGAAAAATGTTACATGTTCTATGTTGCATGTTGTATGTTACATGTTTTCAGTTGGTCTTTCCTACAACAGGCATTTTTAATCCCAGCTCCTAATGAACAGAAGAAATACCACACAACAGACAGTATAATGTCAGCTTCATACTTATGGCAGTAGGCCAGCTAAACTTTATTATTTTGTTCAAGAGGCTGATAGTCATGTTTTGTTCAGCCTATCTTTTACAAATCTACTTTCCTCTACAGAAAACACTATTCTTGGTCACAATACCAGTTGTTTTGTCTAACCTTACTGACTTCATGGGACTAGCATGTATATTTTCCTAGCTAGGGTGACTGTTCATTGCATCACAAACAGCAACAATATTTCTTTCTATTAGGGATTCTGAAGAAAGTAATACTTGTTTAGAATAAATAGTTTTGTTTTGTTTTTTTTTTTTTTTTTAAAAAAAAGCAAAAAAAAACAAAACAAAAAGCCAAAACCAACTT